CATGAACACACACACACACATACACACAGTCCTTCTAACTAAATGGTGAGAGGCAGAACTCGGTACAGCCTGGAAAGTGTCAGAGAACCAGAGCAGGACCGAGGTTAAAGCAGTAAAAGTCCCCAGTTCTGTTCAAGAACTTCTGCACCAGGGGAGGAGGGAGCTCAGGACAGAGCTGGGCTCAGTTCCAAATCCAGCATGGACATGTGGGGACTACAGCCCAGGGGTGGGGCGGGGTGGGGTAACTACGAGACATCGAGGAGGGGGTTCTGGCTGGAGAGATGGAAGGGGATTCTTGCTGAAGGTGGCCCGGGAGCAGACATCCCCTGAGGGTGGCGGGGTGAGGAGGGTCGATCAGATATGGAGAAGAAGCAGACACTGAGGATGGGGGATTCTGGCTACAATTAGACAGGATCCTTGGACACCTGGGCTCTTGAAGACAAGGCCTGAGAACAGGGCGTAATTGAGAGAGAGGCTCAGAGAAGCCTGTAGTTTGGTCAAAGAGGGGCTGTCAAAGGTGCAGAAGAAGCGTGGCCAGCCTGGCCAGCCTGCCCCGTTCCCCCCAGTACTCTCCAGAGACCCAGCCACACCTTTCCTTCTGTTCCCAGGGGTAGTCAGCTAGCCTGCCGCTGAAAATAATGTGCCTAAGGAAATCGCCCCTTTTACCCTCAAGTAATGAGAGGAGAGACAAAAGATAGATTATTTTCGTAGATGCAGTTAGATCCCGGGACCCTCACCAGCGCAGTTCTCTGGACGTGAAGGTTACCCTCCCAGCCTCAGCACGAGGGGTGCAGGGATGAGGGTCATGACGCGGCGGCATCCCTGCGTGGGAAATGCGTCCCCTGGGTTGACGCCAGCCAGCCTGCCCTCCCCTGAAGCGCTGATGGGGAGAAGGAAAAACTAGATGCAGAACAGTTGCTCACACACATGCACACGCACACGCACGTACACACATGCACGCGCACGTACACACATGCACACGCAGTGCACACACGCAGACACATGCACACGCAGACACATGCATGCGTGTACACACATGCGCGCACACACACAAGCACGTACACACACGAGGAGGATATTTCTGGGAGGGTTCCCCAAACCTGGCAATAGTGTTTGCCTGTGTGTTGGGGGGATGGGAATTTAGAGGCAAGGACAGGAAGAGGGGGTTACGGTGGGGCCAGGGTTGTGGAGTCTGTCCCTCTATCTCTGTCTCTCTCTGTCATTTTGTCTCCTTCCTGTTTCTCCTGATAGTTGTTTGTTGAACTTAGTGGGGAAGATTTCAAGGCATCTTAAGCACCTCATTTTACTGAATGAAATGAAAACGTCAAAGTAGACATTTATGTTGGGGGTAATTTGATATTTATATGCTGTTTACTTACTAGCCTGGATTTCAAGTAATTATGGCATCTCTACATTCATGATGCTTTAGAAGCACGGCGAATCAGCTCTAAAGGCGGCTGGTGCTGTGGCGCTAGGTAGTCATTTCATTGCTTCCAAATAACTTCTCTGAATTACTAGTTAATTCAAGATGTCTAGGTAACTTAACATGGAGAGTGGTCACTTCATACATTTCTGAGACTATCATGAACTGCAGGCTATAATAGTATCCTTAAAAGTTTAAAAATAATCGCAGGCTGTGTTTCTAATCATACCTCCTTTAAATGGCAAACACTTCAGAGAAAATACATTTCAAGTAAAACTCCGCCAGACGATCAGTCTCCATACGAGCGTGTCGTGCGGTGTGTGCTCTGCAAATCTGGGTGCTACTGTGTGACAGTCACAGAGACAAAGTCTTATTTCAACCCCTCACCTAAACCTACCTGCCCCCCACAATTATTGTTGCTGCCCCAAAACATACAAACTCCAGGCAGAAGAGCAAGTCAGTATCTAGTTAGCGAAGGTGAGCTGCGATGCGCCTGGAGCCTGGCTTTGCTTGCTTTCTATACGCGATTTGGTCCAGTGTAGAATGAACCAAAAAAAAAAAGGTTCATGAAATCCCCATGCTGCAAAGTCTAATGATGTGTAAATGACACCCAATGATGTATGGCAAAAACTCATGGGTCAAAATGGTCCCCGTGTACACACAAACTCTAGAACACAGTCAGGAATCAAAATAGAGAAGAAGTGAGTGGAGCAACCCCCCCCCATGATGCTCAGCAGGAGGGAGGAAGCCCCCCTCCCCCATGGCTCCATCGCTCAGCAGGGGCGTTACAAACACAAAACCGCCCTCAGATGCAGGGCTGCTGAGTTCTTTATGTTAAGGCAGGATTCCATCAAGAAAGGTTAAATTATAGCTTACGTACCCATTTCCAAGAGCAGGTGGTCACGATTCATTTTAGGAAGATTCTAATTCAGTAAAAATGTTTTAGATAGAAAGTGATGTTTGAAGTAACCTGGAAAAAATCGGGGTCTGAGATCCCTTTCTTGCCCAGTGTGGCTTTATCTTATTTGACTCAGGAAAGTTGGTCTGTTGGGCTGTAGAGTCCAAAATACTAATAGCCATTCGTATCATGTGTTTGATGGTTTCCTGTGCTTGATTTAGAGTTTAGAGGCTTTATATATTTTCCTCTTTATGCCTCTCAATAACCCTGTAGGGCCGGTGTTATTATCCCTTCTCACAGATGAAGAGTCTAAGGTCAGAGAGGCCCCAAAATAGTTTAGCTGGCAAGTGGCAGAGTTGGCTCTCAAACACTGTGTCTTTGGCTCCCGTGTAGGAAAATACACACTTTCCCCCCATATCAGCCTGGCTTGAAAAGCAAAACTCCAGACGTTTGCCACCAGTTTGTAGACCTTTCTCTTCTCCTGTCTCTTTGCCTTTGTTTTCCTGTCTTCCTCCCCCTCCCTTTTCCCTTCCCTCTGTGTTGTGGGTTAACCTGTGGGTGAGATGCTTACAGTCCAGGCCGCCCAGATCAAAGCACGGTTTTGAAATTGCTGCCTCGTGAACCTTTGACATGGAGACGCTGAGCCTGTGAGCCGGGAGGTCCCCACCCCCGCAGTCACGCGCACGCGCTTTGATCCAGGACACTCCCTTTGGTGTCTAAAGAAAGCCTTTGGATGTCCACGCGGCGCTCTCAGCTGCGAACGCACTCGTCCCAGCACAGAGTCACACTGCACAACCCCCAGAACCCTCTGCGACTAAGTCTCGTCTCAAGAAATTGTCCCTGAATGTGTGTCTTTGGTGTTTTCCTGATTAGTCAAAAAGCTTTTTGCGAGCAAGTCAGATCATTACGTAATTATAAAAACTGAAAACACCTCATCATTCCACTACCCGCCTCCCTCAGAAGATAATCCCTGGTAACAATTCAAAAGAAATTCTAAGTTGTGAGTTTGTACTTCAGCTTTTCTCCCCTGCTCTTTGCTGTGCGCCTTCAAGATGCACATCTGAAAGACAGGCGGAGAGATGGCAGGTGGGCAGGGCGGGGTCGGCCTCCCCGCCGTGAGCCAGCCACCAGCAGGAGGTCTGGGTTCAGGCGCTGTGACTCATCCTTGTTGGCCCGGTGGTGTGTGGAGTACGGGGGCTGCTGTCTGTTGTGTTGGTTTGGATTTAGTTTCTGGCCCACAAGTACTGTTCAGGTGACTTTGTGTATACATATGGATGAAAAAGTTAAATATGTACATTTTATAGAGAAGCGGGAGTTTTGAACTGGTGGGTCTGCCCTCTGGCGCCTGTGGGTCACAGAGGAGGAAGCCGGCTGCAGGTGGGAGCCCTCGGGCCGCCGCTCGCGTCTGGCTGTCCGAGCCCTGGTCCCGCACGCGCTCCGCGCTGCTCCGCCTGCAGCCCTTGAGCTGCTGTCTGCTGTTTTCCTGACGGCCCGGGCTCTGTAGAAGCCATCACGCAGTAAAGATCAGCGTGTCACCGTCTGACGTGCCGTCTCTCAGACATCCTTCTGTGTGTGTGTCAGATAAAGTGCCTGAGAGACCCACAGTGTAGCAGCGTGACGTCTGATCCTGGAAGCAAACCGTGCAGGTTCAAATCCAGGTCCTCAGTAGCAGTGCCGCTCTGGACAAGGTGCCTGCCTGCTGTGAAGCTCCGTGCTCCCACCATGAGATGGGAGGGGTGGGTGTGTGAATTAATGAGGTCGCGGTGTAGAGTAAGCATCTGATAAGTGTTAGCACTGATTATTAATGTTTTTGTAAGAAACGGGGGGTGGGTATAGGCAGCATGTGCTTGGCACGTGCAAGGTCCTGGGTTCCATCCCCAGTGCCTCCATTAAAAAAAAGAAGAAGAAGAAAAAGGAACATATTTTTACTTCTGTATGATAACTTATTTTTTAAACGATCATGAACACTTTTTTATATCATCTGTTTGTGGCTGCACTATAACTACATTACATGATGTGCTATGATTTATTTTGTGCCAGAACTGGTGGAAATGATCACATGTGGGTCAGAAACTCACACGTGTTGCCCGCCCTTGGAGAGCAGTGCTGTGCTCTGATGCCCAAATCCAGAGAATCTTGAGACCTTTAGTTTTACCCAGACAGGAGTTCGGTGCCCGTAAGCGCTTGTGGAAGCCTCTTCCTACTCTCAGACAAGAATAAACCGCTGAGCGGGTGTCATATGTATATGTGATCTGTCCACGGGGCACATTTCTAGGCTCGTAGGCTTGTGACGTTTCGAAGTGGCCGTCCACGGGTTCAAATACTTATCAGGTTCTTATTTTCTGCCTTGATAAGTAAGTCAGCGAGTGCGTCCCTGACTTCTGTTTCTGAACGTTCACACGACCGACTGAGTTAGAGGAGGAAGCGCAGTAACTGTGCCTGAATCTGGCCACGATCCTGGGGTGGGGGGGCTTTCTTACTCAAATGCTGCTTGAGTCAAGCTGGTGACTAAGGATCCTTCTGGTCGAAAGAGAGATTATTAGCAGCAGGAGACACCTTTGAACTTGCTCAAAGAGCTGCCTCTGTGTGACTGTTAGCCCAGGTCTCGCTGTACCTCCTGGTCCCCCGCCCGCGCTCACAGTGTCTGAACAGCTTTCTCTGGCCCGTCCATCCCCGCAGGAGTGTGGCTTCGGCTTCGGGGAGGACGCTCGGTGCGTGAGCTGCCGGCCGCTCCGGTTCAAGGAGGACTGGGGCTTTCAGCAGTGCAAGCCGTGTCTGGACTGCGCGCTGCTGAGCCGCCTCCAGAAGGCCAACTGCTCCGCCACAGCGGACGCCGTCTGCGGGGACTGCCTGCCCGGGTACGTGGCCCGCTCCTTCCGTGTGACTGTTTCATGATTCTGAACAGGCATCTCTCTGGTTCCCTCCCCCGAATACGACTGATCTGAACCTGGACACACTGGCCAAGGGCTCCTGGCTTTTCTGTTCTCCGCACGTCCTGTGCGCCGTGCGCCCAGACGGCGTGCTGAGGGTGAAATGGGTGAGCACGCCGGCCCAGGCTGGGTGTCACCAGGCTCTGCAGAGGCCCTGCAGATCAGTAAGAAATGTGGGCCAAGGGACAAAAGAATAAACAGTCAGTTCACAAAGGAGGAGGCACAGGTGGTCTGTAGTCACCTGAAGATGCCTGTCCTTGGTGGTGATCCGGTAAACACACATATGGCCACCCGGTCATTCAGCGTGTGCTGGTGGAGCGGCGGGAGGGCATGGCTTTAGGGAAGGCGACAAGGATCCCCACCCACGTGCAGCTTCTGACTTGATGAAATTTGAAAAAGATGCTCATGGTTAATGATGAGAAATAAGTTGTGCAGAAAGGTAGAAGGGAGGATTGCTCTGGGGAAAGAGCGTCCACAGCAGCTGGGGGAGGGGGAGCCCCCAGGGATGCAGGGGAGGCAGTTGGAGGATTAAAGTGGGTCATCAGGGTGGGCGATACTGAAATGGTGAGATCTCAGTGGACACAGGCCCTGAGGGGGCATGACCTGGGCATTTCCGAAGCTGCAGCGAGGCCCAGGCAGCTCAGGAGACGGAGAGCAGGGGCAGAGGCGGGGGTGGGAGGTGACAGTGGACACCCTAACTGTCCACAGGGAAAGTGGACTCAGGCCATGGACAGAAAGGGGATCCCTCCTGGGCCAGGTGGAGAGACCAAGCTCAGGAGGAGGAATTTTAAAGTTTTAAGTGCTTCTAGGTGACCCCCGGGCAGACTTCCCAGATAAAACAGGTGAGCATTTTACGTGAATGATTTTTGCAGTGTTCACCGTGTTATTTTTCTTTATTAAGATTTGGTGTGTGTGTGTTGAGGGACGGAGGTAGTTAAGTTTATTTGTTTATTTACTGGAGGGATTGGAGATGCTAGTCACGTCCAGGACCTCGTGCGTACGAGGCACGTGTTCCACCCCTGAGCTACACCCTCCCACCATGTTCACCGTGTTTTGAAAATGAAGAAAGTCAGCCTGCTCATTGTTGAAGGTTATTCAGGCAAGATTACACAGCCAGTCTGCGGTGCAGCTTGGAGCCATGACCAGGGCGCTGCCACCAGAATCCAGGCTTGACGTCACTGCAGACAGAGAGCCTCACTGCCCTCGGCCAGCACATGCCCACAGGGTCAGGGCTTTGACCAGATGGCCCGGTGCTAGTTCTGTGACTTTACTGAGGCCAGAGGGCAGGTAGCGCTCTGGACCTAAAGGGCAGAAACAGGGCAGGGAAGAACCTAGAGATTCAAGCCTTCCCCTATGCACAGAGTTATCACCTGCACAGATGCAAAAAGTAGTGGTCTTACACCAACAGCACAGGCAACCAAAGGAAAAATAGCTCTACTGGACGTCATCAAAATTAAAGTCTTTTGTGCTTCAAAGGATACTATCAAGAAAGTGAAAAGACAACCCCAGAATTAGAGGAACTATTCGTAAATCATGTTTGTGAAAAGGGACTGTCTTATCTACAATATATAAAGAGCTCTGACAACTCAATAACAAAAGGACAGACAACCCAATTAAAATATGGGTTTGAATGGACATTTCTCCAAAGAAAATACACAAATGGCCAGTAAGCACAGAAAAAGATGCTCAAAGTCATTAGAAATCAGGGAAATGCAAAAACAAAAACAAAAACAAAAAAACCACATACCTCAAACCCACCAGGATGGCTATAACCAGAAGGCAGACAATAGCAGGTGTCAGTGAGGGTGTGGAGAAATCGAAACCTCGTGCACTGTCGGTGGGAATGTGAACTGGTGCAGCCACTTTGGAAAACACTATGGAGGCTCCTCAAAAAGCTACACGTAGAGTTACATCCTTAGGTGTTTGCTGTGTGCTTGGAGCTCTCTAAGGATGTGTCTGAGACGCTGTTTCATTTAGGCCTTTGAGAATCTTGGTTTTACCAACAGAGCCAGTAATGGAGACTGCCAGTGATTTATGACATAGATGTGTTTGCTGCAACTGCGAGCTGTGATGAAAAAGCTAACAAGGGTTACTTTCCTTTCTCTTCTAGATTTTATAGGAAGACAAAGCTCGTCGGTTTTCAGGACGTGGAGTGTGTACCTTGCGGGGACCCCCCGCCCCCTTACGAGCCGCACTGTGAGTGACACTGGGCCGGCAGCACGGGGGCTCTGGGCCTTTGTTAAAAACCTTCCTTCAGTTGCAAAAGGAACAGAACCTCCCTCTGCTGCGGGGCTGACAGCAAGCACCCTTTTGTCGGCCATCCAGCAGGACATAAAGCCCCTTTGTTGTGTGTCGCAGTCAGCAAACTGTGTCCATTGATTGAATCTCGGTTTGAAATACAGACATTTTGCTGCTGCCGTGTTCCATTCAAACCTCTATTTTTCATTCTCGATTATAACTCAGGCCACTCCAATTAACTAGGGGGTCCAGAGCCTAATGCGTAACGTCTTTGTGCACACATCCGTGTGTTCCCGTCTTTGGTCCCCAGACGCTGACGTGGGGTGGCGCCTCTGCCTCTCCAGGGACGTCCCTCTCGGGAACCACCTGCCTAATTAGTGCGTCATTCAGCGGTGCCCCAGTTCGTTTCGTCTGCTCCTTCGTTTTTCTCATTTAACAAATACGTAACAAGAGAAAACCCATCACATGTTGGTAAAGAGAAAATTGTGCCTTTTCCTCTTTGTATGAACATTAGTTGAACGTTCTGACCATACTTTCTCCTTAGATAGAAAAGGTATTTGTTACAAGTTATCAACCTGCCTTGATTTTGAATAGGAAACAGTGGCTTCTCTGGCTTCTTCATTCTGAGCCCAGATCTGGCCACTGGAAACCCAGGAGCGGCGGGGGCCCAGGAGAGGAGCCAGGTGTGCTCGGGCTTGTCTGCTGAGCAGGGCTCTCCTGAGCTGTGGGGACAGCACAGTCCAGGAGGGAGGCCGGGGAGGGCGCGCTCTCTGCATACGTAACTCTCGCCTTCCGGGGGAGCGTGAGTGACGCAGGTGTTCACTATCACTTGCTTTGATAGCATTTCCGTGCATGGAATCTCTCCTCTTGCTTCTCTGGGGGACAGAAGCCCCCTCTAAATTAACTGAAAGTTATCTCGTTACTTGACAAGGTCACGTGGTACGTTGGTTTCCAAGAGTGTCACGGAATTTTGCAGCCTACATAATTATGCCCTTTACCAAAATGCATCACTTTCTGCATCTGAAGTGACGGAAAGGCAGAAAGAATGGAAGACTCTAACTTTTATAGAAGCGTACCTTGACCTGAGTCTTTATAATCGGTCAACGTTCGCTGAACAATTCATTGCCATATTGAATGCCTGCTGTGTACTGGTCACAATTTGCGTTACTTAATTTTCTCAGTGTCCCAGCATCAGTCACATTCATCAGTGAGGACGGCACTTCCAGGGGGCTGGTAACTTTCCGTTGTTGGCTGGTACTTGGCAGAGACAGTACTCAACCCCAGGTCTGTCTGGCTCCAGATACCGTGTCCTTGCCATCACTCCCTACTGTCTCCTGAGAAGAACCCAGCTGTCCAGTCTGTCCTCTGTTGGCTGACGTGATTCCACTCCATGTTGAATTCTTCTTGTATTGCTAGCTTTAATGTTCATCATTTAACAAAAGCTAAAACTCTGACATAGAGGAGATACTGAAAGCCTCTCTTTGCAATACAGCCCATCAAAGGACACGTCTTCTTGCCAATTAAAACATGGCGGCAACCTGGCCTTGCCTGTGGGTCAGCTCAGCCATCACTTCATCCAGAAAGCAAAGAATATGCTCTTCATCCCAAACCACCATAAAAACATTTAGTAAAGAGATCAGTATTGCCCAGTGTAGAGTTGGAAAGTACTGGGGGTTTTTTTTTTCCTTTAATTTATTGGGTTTAAATTTAATGTAATCTAGTCATAAGTCTGAGGCATTGGAATTTTTGCCTTTGGGGATCTGGCTAAGTTTGGGCATCATAAATTAGCCTTTAAGCATAGATTTCACATTTAACTTTTAATGTCTTGTAAAGCCCTGAGTAAGTTACAATTTGAAAAGAAAACAGGCGAGTGTAATTTATATGTGTAGATGTATTTCTCCTTATAGGAAACTTTTTAGAAAGCAAAGGAAAACAAATTATTTTTCAGAGTCAGAAATGCAGCATGCACAGCTAATAGCCTTTTGAACTATGAAACCACAGTCTGGTGGTCTTCAGTGAGCCTTAATCCTTATCTCTCTAAAGGAAGATTTGCTGCCTTTGGCACAGTTCTTGGGAATAATTCCAGAACGCAACTAATCTCCTCAAAAGAGATCTTGAAGTCTTTGGGGGAAATTATGTAAGGCGCCTGATGCTTTCATTTCTCCTGCTTTGAGCTTTTCCACTCGTCCGCGGAGTGATGCTTCTGCGGCGATTCCCCTGAGGAGTTCCTGTGTGGTTTGGCCCCTAGGCCTGACGGTGGTGGTGCCGCACAGGCCGCCTGCAGTGCTGGGGCTCGTTTCAGGGACGTACCTCGTAGTGAGAGGCTGGACCCCAGGCGGCCCTGGAGTCTGGGGGCTGTGGCCCCCACAGCTGGAGGCTCCCGCGGCTGCTTTCTCAGCCTGCAGGACCAGCTTACGCCCCCTGGTTTCCCCCCACACTCTGCGGGCTGCTGTTCAGGCCCCTGAAGGGGAGAATCCGATTGGTCCAGGGAAATAGCATCGTCTTGGGAGGCACACTTCCCTGCTGAGCAAATGTCTGGTGCCCACTGGGCGTGCGGCACACTGAGGGGCACAGGTCGGCCCAGTCCTGTCCTTCACCGAGCACGCAGCGTGGTGGGGAGCTGTCAGGTCCCTCCTCTGAACCGCTGTTCAGACGCCACACACCTGGCGCACGTTGTGACTGATCTGTCCTCGCCGGGGGATCCGTAGCTCTAGGAACTGGTGATGGGTGATGACACAGGAGCCAGAGGGAGGCTGTCCCACCCACTTCTGAGCAGGATGGAGAGGACCCGCCAGGGGAGGGGGAGCCTGGGAAGGAGGCAGCGGGGAGCCGAGCATCCTGCAGCCCTGGGCGCCTGTGCGGGTCCAGTCTGCTGAGCCTGGAAGCACCCTGGGATGGAGCCCCGCGAGGTCTCTGAGGACGGTTTTAGTGAGTAATGGCCTTGGGAGTTAGACGACGGCGAAGTGGGCAGGGAGAGCGAGAGGAGGAGTGGAGGTGCTCTCAGCGGACTCGGTCCAGACGGAGGTGGCACGGGGCGTGTGCGGGCGGGACGCGTTCTGTTTGGCTTTGGTTTTAGGTGAGAGAATGTCTGCTCATGTGCAGGCTGGAGGGAGGGAGCGAGCTGAGGGGCTGACCGTCTCACACGAGAGAACAGAAGGGCGGCAGGCGAGGCTGGGCCCGCATGGGTGCTGGAGGGCCTCGTCGCAGAGAGGAGGGAGGTCGTTAGAGAAGAGCGGGCCCTGGGCCCCGAGGCCCCGCCGGGCTGTGGCTGCAGGGGGGCCTTGCTCGCTTCTCCCCTGACACCGTGATGGCATCCGCCGCGGGGGCGGCTCAGGCCGCCTCTGAAGCTGCCCCGAGACACACGTGAGCTGTACCCGAAACGTGCAGCCTAGAGCAGACGGCAAACGAGTCTTTGAAAGGATGACTGTCTGCGTTACCGACACCAGGATAATTGTAAATGAACGTAATACGCTTTCTCGTATTTATATACTGCCCGAAACAAACCAGAGATTCGCTTCCTGAGATTCCAGACAAACAGAAAACGCAAGATCGAAAATGTCCTACACTTCTGTCCGCTCTCCAGAGGGCCACCAGGTCCATCCTTGTCTTGGCTGGGGTAACTGGCAGGTGACTGAACTCCTGGGGGGCTAGGTGTCACCTCTGTAGACTGGGGCGGCCCCCACTGGCTTCAGGCTGTTGCACGTACGAAACAGTCAGGGGTCTGTAGTGTTCTCTGCAGCGTCCGGCGTGGGCAGGGTCTCCAAGCTCTCAGCCCCCTCCCTTGTTCACAACTCCTACCGTGCAGGGCACCCTGGATGCTCAGGTCTCATCTCCCGGTGTTTGGGAGGAGATGCTGCCTTGGAAAGTTCCAGGTGGCTGCCCAGGGGCGTGGTGTGCAGCAGAGGCAGTGGTCCAAGGACCAGCAGCAAGTGTGGGTACCTGCCCCCTCGACAGGAAAGGGCACAGCATAACGGGGGGGAGACGTCAGCTGTCAGATACTAGGTCCGCTCTCTGCCGCCAGGTTTGTAGTAAAGAACATCTGAATGTGAATCCCTCTCTGTCAGAAGTCCGGGTTCACGTCCAGGCTCGGCCTTGTATGGGTGGTATCCCTTCAGGCACCTCACCACTTTGAACCTCTGCTTGTTCCTTGGAAAATGGGGACAGTCATGCCCATGTTGGCGGGTTTAGGTAGAACTGAATGGAGTTGTGTTAGGAAACGTGCCTGCCCTTTTCCGAATGATGGCTGCACCTGCCTGCGTCCCCTGGGGCCCCGCCCACCCCAGGTGTGCTGTCTGCGGGGCCGGGAGCTGGCCCACGCGGGAGGAGCTCGGGTGCAGCAGGCTTGGATGTCGACTTGCTGGTCGTCCGCCTGCACTGGTGGGTGAGCAGTGAAGGTTACCTGGAAAGGGGTTGCAGTAGATGTTTTGGTGACTCGAGTGGCCAGAACACCAGGCTGCAAAGACCCTGCTCAGGCTGGCCACCTTCCTCTGTCCCAGCACCCAAGGGCTCTCGCCCGCTGCCCAGCCAGCACAAGCCTTAAGCTCGCCTGCCCGCACAATAGTGATGGACGTGTGGACAGAATTGATTAGTGCACCCACAGCACTGAGTCGGGAGGATGACTGGTTGACATCTGTAAATTGCAGATAAATAAAAAGGCACCCTTTACGTAGAAATTCCTGCTTCAGGCTTTGCTCCTCATGGTAACGTCACCTCCTAGCAAGGTGCATTCTTCTGGAGCATGAGGAAAAATAGAGAAAAATATGTGAGAAATTTTAGAAGAGGTCTATCTATCCTGCCCTGGGCTTGATAAGAGATGCAGATTTTGTGTGATTTCTTTCAGCAATGTTGACTTAATTTGGAGCAAATGCTGTGCTTGGAACAGATGGTTTTGAAAAAATTCAAAGCGGTTTTATTGTAGGCTGTTTAACCTAGATGTTTGCTTTGTTCTTGGGGGCTTG